AACTGACGGACTAATTAGATTTATAATATTCATATTCTGTCATCATCCCTATTATATAACTTAATATTAGACTTTTTTGTAAAGGAAAGGCATCATAGACGCATAATATTTTAAATGAGCTCCCAGTTTTTGACAGCTATGTTCCGGAGAAAATTTTCAAATGAAAAAGTGCCGGGTGAAGTTATTTTCATAGTTCACATCTCGATTAAATATTTCTATTACGTTATATCCACCCAAAGGTTGTCTGGTAGAAATCGCTATCAGTGATAAGACCGCCTTTGTGCTCATTATGTACGTACTGTAATTTTATGAATGGTGCACGATAAAGGTTATTCAATTCAATTCTAATTTTAGTAAATCTCGAATGAAACCCTGAAAAATAGACTGAAGTGATCATAGTAAAAGAGACACCTACCTTTCATCAGTTGGGAAGAGTTCAATGTATTAAGGGCACGCCTATTGTCATACACCGGCTAGATTTCATTCAACTATAATTATTTAGTAACGAATTAAATATTTTAGAACATGAAAATCGATACCATCAACTGTAAAACCGCGCCCTTTACCTAAGCCCCCTTAGACCATAGAGAAAAAACTTTCATTAAAAATACTAGGCTGAACACCGACTTCCTTTGCCTTGAGTACCACGTGGTCGAAAAATCAATAGGTCGTTAGCCTACGAGAGTGAGCGAGACCACACGATGTGACGTCACACCTTCTGTCCCTTTCCCTCGCAAGGTCGGCGGCTTCCCTCGAGGGTTATTTACTTTTCTTTTTTTAATTCTGGGATTACTGCGCTCTTATATAGGGTGTATTTTTTTTAAATAGATCGGCACATGAGTAGGCGTATCACCTGATGCATCAGGTGATACGCCTATGGTAAGAAATCGATGTCGCCTATAGACACCAGTTACAGGTGCGTTTTCAAATTTTTGGGGATTTAAAGCATGGGATTGGGGATTGCGATTGTCAAAGTCAGCATTTATTTCAATTAAACCATACACGTCTATTGAAACGTCAATAGTTGAGGGATTTAGGATTCGAGAATTCGAGAGATTTGAAATTGGAGATTAGAGATTAGAGATTAGAGATTGGGGATTGAGATTAAGATTTTATGTTTGTCTGTTAATTTGTTTCTTGGGAAATGCTGTATCGATTTTGAGTTGATGTTTTTGTAATTTATGGCTACCATTGATGGTAGGTAAGCAGTGAGAGTAATATTTAATGGTCTGGCAGTTAATTTTGACATATTAGGATAGTTCAATTCATTATTAACCTAGTTTTTGTTTGATAGTAAGAGTCATATTGAACTTTTTGTGGCAACTTAGTTAACTGTTATGTAACTCCGTGCTACTTCTGAGATTTTTTTAAGAACCCAGTGATACTTTGCCCGACCCGGGAATCGAACCCGAAACCTCTTGCACGGCAGTCGCACTTGCAACCACTCGGCCAATGAGGCAGTCGTAAAACTTCTGCCCATCCCTGCATTGAATGACAAGCGTAATATTATGTAATGTAATCCTTTTTACTATATATCAATAACTTAATCTTATCAATATTCTTACATACATATATAGTAATAATAATCTTTGCAATAATCCGTAAGGTGACCTTAAGATATTTAACATACATAACATATATATATTTATCGATATTTATATAACAAAATAATTATTACATCTATGCATTAATAATATTGTATTAATATTTAAATAGAAAAAGAGATAATTTGAGAAATTTCAAAATCTTAAAAAGATATATGTAGGTATATATTAGCGTATATTTAGTCCGACTCAGCAATCGAACCTCACTTAAACTTAAATCATTAAAGTTCATTACGACCACAAACACAATCCTACTCAGTACCACTGATACTGTAAAAATTTACGCCAGTTATATTTTTGTGAAATACAAAAATACTCGTTCTGTACGAGAATTGAGGCCACGACATCTTTCGTAGGAGTCGGTCACTCAGCCACTGCGCTAACCATGCATACAACTATAATAAACTATAGCTACTTTTTTTTTAAGGGGGGAAAATCATCGAACGAGTGCTCCCGCCTGGGTGAGGCATCACAAAAAAAAATGATATCCATGAAAACAGTAAGGGTAGTCTTTTAATCGTTGCCCTACACTAGCATTTTCTCCTGAGAACAAACTACTTCAGCTTTATAACGCCTAATTGATCAGTTCTTCTAAGTCTTAAGAAAAGAGAGCATTCCTTTTTAAGACTGGCAACGATCTAGTAACTTCTCTGGTGTTGCGGGTGTACATGGGCGCCGCTGATTGCTTACCATCAAGTGATCCGTCTGCTCGTTTACTTATTATCTTAGAAAAGTTACAGCTAGATTTTTGTATATATTTGAGATTTTTTACTGGGGTAGATCATATGTACTAAAGTCCTGGTGGCCTGGAGGTTTAAGACGCCCGCTTCTCATGCATGAGGGTGCAGATTTCAAAATCAAAACTTACTAACGGCAAGTACCAATGTGACTTTTTCCGAGTTGTATGTACTTTCTAAGATTATTTAGACACCACTGACAAACGGTGAAGGAAAACATCGTAAGGAAACCTGGACTTATAATTTCTAATTATAAGTTTAAAATCGCCAACCCACATTGATTGACATGACAAGCGTGGTGATTAATGCTCAAACCTTCTCCGTGTGAGAAGAGGCTTTTGGTCAGCAGTGGCTACTGATAGGCTATTGATGATAAAGATATCATATGAGACTGATGATGAATAGGTGGAATGTAGACTGCTGCCTATACTTTTTTAAAAGCTAGCGTGATATTAAGTACATTGACTTCGCGATTAGATTGCTATAAGATGTCACAATATGATAAAAAATGAAGAAAAAAATAGCGATTTTTTTTTATAACTTAACATGTATTATGATCTATTATTATTCCATAACGGGGTTAGCAGAGTTAGAAGTTTTTGATGTCAGCCCCACTTTTTACAAGAAACAAAAGTTTTGGAAATGTGGTAATTTTGCCTGACTCGGAAATCGAATCTAAACTGATTTGTTATTGTTTTTTATTATTGTATTATAATGCAAATAGCGGGATAGTTAGTAGCGGCTGTTTTGTTCACATTTAGTTATATTGCGGTTGTCAATATATTTTCCCGGGTCAATGACCTTTTAACAGTTCAGTTTTATTCAGGTATTGTTTTGATTAAATAAACTATGATTTAAGTATAATTGTTACTGTCTCAGTGATATTAAATTATTTAATTTTGTAGGAATTTGTTTTTTGAAAAAAAAACAAGAAAAAGAAATTAATTTTTTACGTCATAACTCAGAAATGTTGCGTAAAAAAATTAATGTATTATATTTTTAATTTCGAATAACAGGCCATCTAGTTGCCAAACACGAGCTAGACTCGCAAAAAACCAAAAAAAAAACTAAACGAATCATCTTTTTCGAACAAAAAAAAAAGAACGAAATATTTGAATTTGAAACGTTCGTCGGCGAAAAAATTCGCCAGGAAAGGCGGCGACGTAATATTGTTCAGTGATTCCACATTCAAAACTAGAGTTCAACAACTTTTCACCGAAATCTACTTTGTTTGGGTCCCGGGGTCAACGAACTGCGGTGACGCCTGTGTGCCAGTGTGCGCGCGCCGCTATATCCGTACACGCCACCGACGTACGCACACCACCACACAACGCCTTGCGATCCGTTCGCACATTGATGGGCAATTTTGTCTCTTAATTACACCGTAATTACACACGTTTCCGCATACATTTTACCAAGTTTCGGAGGTACAATATTCCTAATTGACCCTCCTTAAACAATTTCCCCTTAAAGATGATAATTGAAGGATTTTCTACTCGATTCCTAGTCCGCGCCGCGCCGGGGCGACTGAACTATCGCTATAAGCTAAGTTGATTATTCGGTCGGAATGAAAAAATATATAATTTTTTCGTGAGCCTGGCCGAAGATTCGTCAATGCGTCAGTCATGTTCGGACCGCTCTGGCGTCAACATCTTTGGACTTGCCAGTTGCCGACGCGATCCCGAGTTGTGAACAACCAATAGTACAAACATATTAACGTACAAATTTTTCCAACAGTGAGGTGATCACGTATTGTTATTTTACTATAAGAAACAGTGACAGTGCCTTCCAGTGCAACCCAAGGATTTTAATTTTCAATTGTTTTTGAAAATAGAACGTGGTGTCGTCTAACAACTTCGAAAATTTTCAAATTTAAATCTTGTGTTCCACGTAAATTCGAATAACGGATTTTAGATAATTGAGCATCATTGTTCGGTTAACTAAAATCTCTAATAATAACAACAACAAATTGGCATTTTTAAATATTTTTTTTTTGTTTCTAAAGAGTATTTTTAAATTCAAATAAATTCTTCTTCTGTTTCGGTTTTCTGTTTACAGATTTTTTTGTGTTCTCTGAATATTGATAAAGAGATATAACCAGTAGAATAAGGGAACAAGTGAATAATTACAATAAATATAATAGTGCCTTACTTAGATGTTTATTTAAGACGAACGGAAGAAAACAAAACATAATCACGGAGACAAAATGCCAAAAAATTTGTTGCTCTTCAAAAAGTTAATACCTGAATTAAACTTCGCAAAAAGAAATCTTACATCCCCACTTGGCCGGAATATATTTATCAGTTAAACCCAAAAACCTGGTGCTTAAATATCAACAAAGTTGAAGAAACAATAAAAAAAGGGAGTGCCATAGTTTTTTCGAAGAAAAATTACTAATGGTGTAACGAACACAAAAAAAAACCTACAAAATCAAAACAGTTGCCTTACCGACAAAGTCGAACAAAAAACATTTAAAAAGAGAAGTATTTTGAACATTCAATTGGAATACCAACGTCTAGTGATAGTGGTTTGGACCGCAATGCGAATTCGATTCGCGCAAACACAAAATCACAGCCCGAAAGGAACTTAGAAGAATTTTTTTTGAGAGTCAAAAAAAGGCGGCAAAACGGCGGACAAAAATTCAAAAATCTTTGAAATCATGAACAGCAACCAGTTTCATGATTTGTTTGGGTCGCAGTGGCCTCCAGATCAACACGGAGGTCACTCGTCGGCTTCCACCATGCTGCACCAATCCCAGGGACTGCCACAAGGCATGCAGTTGAAGAGAGAGCCCCATACTGATGGCCAGCAGGTCATGCACAACCAAATACCTATGGACATCACTTCAGGGTCTGTGGCAGACAGCACATCACCTCCGCCCGGTGGTAACGAAGGGATGTATGGATCATCTATGCCTGGAATGTACATGGATAAGAAAGGACCTAACTCCATACGAGGTATTTAACATTTTATTTAAAAAAATTGATTGAAAATGTCAAATTCTCCATTCTCTGCGTTTGTATCCTGTTTGACAATACTAAATTAAATTCGTTTAATTTTAGTTCCTGTCAATAACTAATATAATTACGCATTTAGGTGCCTACAAACTTTATTATTGATAGTGAATGCAAATAATAATATATCAATTATTTTGTTTGTTGTTTGTTTGTTCGTTCCAATTTGTAGGGGCGAAGTTCATATAAAACTGATAAGGAATCAATTTTATTTGGGAAAACATGTCGAAATTTTCTGTTAAACTTGACCTATGTAATTTTGAATTTTATTTTCCTAGTTGTGCTATGCATTATCGCGAATCCATGATGTCATAGATAAAACGTTCAAGTTGTGATATAATAAAATACGTATCAAAGTGATAGCACTTACGTTTCTAGTAAAATGCTTTTGCTAATGAAAATTAAAAATTTAATCACTGAATGAACCAAAAAGTATCAATGACTTAACCATAGGCATAATAATGAAATGTCTTTCACCTAAAAAAAACACCCTGACAACTGTCACACCAAATGACATTGATTCAAATTTAGAACTTGAAGATGCACTTAACCTTTATTTAAATTAGGGCGTGAAATTCCTTAGAAGGGATTGTTGCTATAATTAAATGAAATTGAATTCTTTAAGCAGGCCGTTATGGTTGTAATTGGTGTACTACAAATTGTCACTTGGGCCTATTTTGTACAGGTCAACTGAAGGTCAAATTCAGATGTTCTAATTGTCAACTGTATTTTGTTGTGGAGATCTTTTGATCCGCTTTCTTGACAACAGTTTGATATGAGTCAATTTTTTTAGAATAGTCAAACAATCTAGAATAAAATTCCCTAAATATTTACAATTAAAAATGAAACAGTTCAAATGCAACACTGGAAAATTTCGTAATTACAAATAATGTCATACGACCTAAATTTTTAGGTATTTAAACATAATTATTTACAAATTCAATGCATTTATCTATTGCCCCCAATTGCATTTAAATTGTTCATGCCCTAAATTTTTAATTTCCGCAATTACCGGAGTTTTGTCTTTGTCCCTTACATTATTTATTATCTGTGTTAATTGTCGTTGCATTTAGGGTATGACGTCAAAAGTGATGTATGTCACTTTCTGTTTCATTATGGACTTTTAAGTGTTGCAATTAAGTCATATTCTTATTCTAAGTACTTAATTTGTTTAGATAGGAGAAAATATTTAGCAGGTTTAAACATAGTTTGTCTAAAAAACAAACAGTCAAGTTAACTCAATTGCTCTCAAAGATTTTCTAAAAAAACCAAAATAAAAAAATTGCGACCAGACTAAAACCTCTTTTCAAACCTCAAAAAAGGGCCCAGTAAACAAAGCACAACAGAAAACTAACAGTACTCTGCAAGCCAAGCCATTAAGTGAATAGAAAAAAATAAACAATTACGTACATACTACGCAAGTCAAAGTGCAGGTTGGTGTCAATGACCCCGTCGAAAACTGACACGTGGAGCGCACCACATAGAATAATGTCCTATGTGCCTATAAGGCGTTATTCTTTGCGTAACACAGTGTACATTAATTGTAACTTATATTGATGGAATGTCAATTTTGAAAGTAATTTTGTTAACAGGTTTTTTTGTAATGAATTTTATTTGGGTTTGTGTTCTTAGTAAGTAATTGTATTTATTATGTGAGAGTTTTTCTTTATATGAAATTGTGACAATGATTTATTGAACTTAGTCACAATAGTATATAAAAAGTCTAGAAATAACTAGACACTAGCATACTTCATAAAACCAAATCAAGAATACAAGTAATAAACACAGAAAAATGTCACTCCCACGGAAAACGGACAATTTAAATTCGTTTAGATGTAATTTTTTAAGTCCAATTGTCATTACTCATTTCTGTCGCAATGGCGCAATAGAACAATTTTGGGGTTGTCATCCGGCGTGGAATTGGTCTCATCTCAGAGTTCAAGGACATTGCCCGTTAATTTGATGATACGTTCACCTCTTACAAGTCTTCATCTCACTAGACTCTTTATTTCTGGCTGTATGAAACATTGTGTCATGCACGTGACGTTTAACTAAATTAAAAAAAAAACAATAAAGTGACAGTGACGTTTATTGTTTTGTAAAAAATTTAAGCCAAAAAAGTTTTTTAGCAAAAAGTTCAATTATCATCGTTCGATTATTTTAAATAAGAGAATCAGAAGAAGAAAGGAAGGCGTCGTTCACACAATAAAATACAGCTCGATTTTATTATAGCTTATTGATTTTTCGCTCGCTGAAAATTTCCACGGAACGGTATTGACACGAACGGTGGGTGGAGCGCCGAAATAACGTTGCCACATAAAGCTTATAAGTCACAATTTAATTATAAAACCTTCGTTTTCAAAGATACCAAAAATAAACAAAACCTACACAATCGATTAAAAATAAGTAACAGATATCATAAAATTGGCTGTAAAGAAAAAAAATTAAAAAAAACACACTGTCAAAATGTTTCAAAATAGAACTACGCTCGTGGTCGTCGACCCGTGACGTCACGTGACGTATGCTGTCACTTTTATTTTAGGGCGCGTTCAAATTGAATGGTTTCGTTAACATACTTAACGAATTAATGAAATTCCAAAACTTAATTGTTTTTACTTCGCGGGGGTTATGCGGTGTGAAATCTTTGGAGTTATTTCGGTAATTCTTTGTATTTCCTTTTCCCTTTCGATTTTATATTGAGAATTTAAGAGGTCAACCTATTTACCATAATAAAATTAAGGTCTTACTTTTGTTTTCGAAAAGTGATACAATTACGAAGACAGTTTTAGAATATTTTTGTTGACAACTAGAAAATTTTAGATCTGGAGCTGAAAAACCTGAGACAAGCGGACTTTTTATATCATACCAAAATAATTACCACTTAAAAGATTTTAACACTACGCCCTTTCTTATACTACCAACTCTTATACTGTTTAATATTAGATATTGTATAAAGATTCATATTACGAAGTAACCAGAATTAGTTTGAAAACTGAATCATTTATAACATAACATTTAACTATACAATAGAGCATTTTGTTATGTTAATACAACCAGTCTTATTTGACAACCCTATTTTTATAGTTTAACAAAGAAGTCTGTACTGCAAAAGAAGTATGACAGCTTTTTGTTATACATAAAATACATTTGGATAAACCGTCAAATTAATTCATGACTTTCCTAAAGATTCATATACGTTTTGATCTATATTTCTTCTAAATTCTCTCATAATTCACTCAGCAGTTTAACAGCCCAGTTTATCTGCAAGCGAAATTGTTGTTTCACAATAAATTAACATTGAATTCCTTAATACTAAGTCCTCTACAAAAATGATTCATTAACTTACTTATAATTACTTAGTCATGATTTCTTTCAAATACAAACAGTTCAATGACCTATGGCAGACAGAAAACGTAACTGTTAAACTCACAAGTTTCCGCCATATTGGAAAAATGACATTTGTTGGTAGATTTTCATAGGAACAAGGTTTTTTTTGTTAAAAAACGATTACTATATTTTTAAATCGAATTGAATTTTAAAAAAGGAATTATTTATCGCTGCCACTTAAAAGTAGGCGCCAAATTTCCCATTTGACATATCGCTTTTTTTTCTTTAATGACGTTACAGGCTGAATGATGTTGCAACCGTCAGAAACGTCATTGACCTGTCATTAGACCTGTGTACGTCATTTTGGGTGATTATCGCTTTTTTACGAAAGAAAGTATTAGTTTACGTATTTGTTTAGATCCGTTCAGATCTAGTTCATTGATAAATTATGTTTTATTGTTCTCGCTATCGTATTTTACCCGTCTAGCCGTCTGGGGCCTATCAGGAGATAGGCTTTCTAATTTCGTGTGGGTGGCATTGCCAAAATATCTTTTTAGGTCATTTTTTGTTACTAAGTATATACCTACTTCCTGTCTTATCACGATAATTTTATATTACTTCTGATTTATTTTTAAGACAAACTCCATCATTGTTAGAAAAAGATACTTAGATGAAAACATTAGTTCATAGTGGATTAAACATCCATTTTGAAAAGATCTCTCAACAAAAACAACTACAACCTTATCAGAGATCAACATAAACTTGTCATATAACGGTCTACAAACCATTGTGAACTGATCTACCAACACAAACATTTCTTTCACAAACAAAGGTCAACAGTAAAATGGTTTCTCCTAAATATAAAATGAAAAGCACGCGGTGTATTCAGGTCATTGGCCCGTGATGTCACTCGCGTCACAGAACGTAGGTAATTCAAAATACGTTAACGCGCCCATCCGCGTTACGTGTATGAATTTGCGATACAATCTGTAATGCGGTTTGCGTTTGACCGATATCGGTCATTGCCTTGACTTGATAGTGATTCACTGTTGTGATATATTTTTTTTGTAACCTTGGGCTTACGTAAAAATATGTTTGCTCAATTTTAAATATGTACTTATCGACATACGAATACATTTTTTGAATTGTAGTTCTTTTTTTAAATAAATATTTTTATTTACTTTTTTATATAATTAGAATTTAAACTCCTGAATGTTTATTTTGATTCTATTTTTAAATTAGAATAATAATTAACGTCGAATTAAATTAGTAATTCTAATTTTAAAAGAGGTTAATGTAAAATTGACATTAAAACGAATTTTAGGTACCTATCAATTGGTTTATTTTACATATTTTATTCAGATTTTTATACCCCGATGGGGTAAGCAGAGTATGTAATATAAGACTCAATTGACCCTTTTACCAAACACCAGACACATAATAGGTACAAAGGGTTCGATTCCCACTTAGAGTCACTGTTTTTTAAAACTTACACAGTTATCAAAACCTTCAGTTTAAAAGGATTATAGCATAGATAATTTCCAATATTACCGATGCCTTTGTGATATCCTTTGCGTTATCTTAACGTGGCCATGAAAACGAATAAAATATTTATC